GGCGCTATAATTTGAAGAACATAGAAATAAACGAGAAATGTTGAGTTCGTACTTCAGCCATAGAACAAACCAAGACCCACCTGAAACCTCTCTTGCCGCCCTCGCAACTTCCAAAAGATGGGGCATCATCAAATTCCTTGAGTTGGTTCTTATGGGTGGTACTGGCAAGCTTCCGCTTATTTTCTTAATTGTAGATGAAGCTCCTCCGTCCTCCTTTAATATCTTGGCGGACAAGACGGAGAGTTGATGAAGATGTTTCTTTTCGTCGGTTGAAAAGGTGGTGAGTGGATTGTCTATGTGATAAAGGGGTAATGAATGAGTTAAGATCTTTTCTATATTGGAATAAAATGGGCGAAACAAATAGAACAAGAAGGAGCGAAGTGATGATCCAAAGATATGCAGACCCTCATCAACGATCAGGAGGAAATTCGGGAGTCCAAAAGAAAAAGAAGAAAAGAAAAGAAAAGAGGTTCATCCACTCGCGCGGTCTTAGAAAGCCTACCTCTAACGTCCTCATACGAAGGAGGTCCTCCAGGATCCCTCTCAACCACAACAACCAGATGAAGCGAATCCAGCGGCCCAACCAAATCACTTCCCCCGAAATCGGCCACACCTTCCAAGAAAACATCTCTAACCAACAAAAACGGATCCACCACCAATTTCCCCCCCAACTCCCCAATCAAACTCAACGAAGCACGATGCTGGGACGGAATCCGATGAATGAGGATGGGGGTTGAAAGGGCAAAGAGAGTGAGCGAGAAGTCCGGGATACCTCCTAGGCGGTGGCAGAGAAGCTGGCGAAGGGAGGAGATGGGGGATGACGGGGAAATATGGGTTATGAATGCGCGGTCTGGAGGGTCGCCTTGAACGAGAGAGATGATGCGGAGGAGTGGTTGTGGGGTGCTCATTGCGTGGAGAGGTCGTCCCAACCAGTCCTCTTCAGCAGCGTTATTGTCTTTTTGATGAAGTGTGCTAAAAAGGCGTCTAGAATAATGAGGACGTGGATGCAAAAATAAAATAATCAAAATATTTACACTGGGTGCGTGACATGTGTGGCTTGTCATCCAAGCAGACAGGAATGAGCAACCAGCAAGGAAGCAGCAAGCAGAAAGAAAGCAGAAAGACAACACGGAATATCTACTTGTATGAGCAAGAAGAACGGCAAAGGAAGGATTGAAACGGTCTTCAGCGAGTCCCTTCAGGCTCTGTTCTTTGCATGCTTTTCTAGTTATACCCGCGTCAACCAAGGACAACAGTGATGACCATCCATACTAGTATGGGCAGTCCCGTCAAAACAGCCCAAAGAAGGGAAAGAAAAATGCTAGCCGATGTGAAAGAGTGCTAACACTGCTCAGAAAGGATAGATAAGTGCATGAATAAATGAATCAAAATACGACACATCCTTTCTGTAGATAACCCCAAGTTCATGATCTAACTTTTTTTTAAACTACTATGGCCCATACGATCAGGGTTGCTACTTCGCATCTCCTCTGTCGTGCTTCTCAAAAATCATCTTCCTACCAAATGTGAAGCAAGATGGCATTCCATCATCCGAACATCTTTTCTCCTTACCAGCAACAGTAATACGCGCCTAAAATGAATCAAAATGAAGTTTTTACTATCTCCCAAGCATCTAATCTTCTTGTCTTCTCATTCCTAATTACGTTGATTCCTCGCTACCCAGAATATTAGAAAGCTTGGAGGCTTGGGGGGCGAGGGATTCACACGCAAATTGCTGTACGAAGAATTGGAAAAAAGGTTCGCTAAGGAGGGCACATGTATTTGTATATAAGGATGAGAGAAAAATCCTGATATGGGACATGATGGTAAGAGATTGTTCCTCTCCGAACATATCTTAGCTATCCAAAATTCTATCACAACCACTCAGAACGCGCACAGAGCGTAGAAGACGAAGGACTAAAGAAACATTGGCTTCTTGTCTCCTGATTTTGATTTTGACCTTGACTTAAAATAACATTAGATATATTTTACCCACACCACTTTGTAACATTAGAAGTTCATACAAAAAACCTGGCAACTCCCGTGTTACTCACCTCCATTCAGCAAAAATGGCAGACTTCACAATACCCACCCTGCTTGATATTGATGCGAGCATCACTCGACAGGTTTGGGATGCAAGAATACCTGCGTGCTTCTCTTTAGATAAGGCTGATATCCCTACTCACGGTGAGCGGGATGCTCTGTATGTGAGTTTTATTCTCCTTCGTTCGTCGAAACACTCTTCTCAACCATGGGCCATTCCTCTTCATACTTTCCATATAAAAAGCAAAGTAGTTGTTTGCTACTTTTCTCCTTAGCATGCATCAGTTTTAGAATGTATTTATATAATCTGTATTTATATTCGCTCATTTTCTCTTTCCGCCACAACTTACCCCCATCAATCAGCTGTTGATCCCTCGAATCTCGTACCTCCCACTCCTCTCCCCCCAAATCTACCATCACTTCTTTGGACCGCTTTTAACTACCGATCTTGAAACAACTGATCCACCTTCAGTTCCTGAAGATATTGAGGTTTGGTTTGATGTTGGTGGGGTGCCGTTACGATGGTAAGTCCCGAAACAACAAAAGGGTACAGGCGTGTATTTAAATGGCTCCATTCTTTTTATATTATCCTATATATTTCTTGTCAAAAGTTCTGTTTGATGATACATGGGCTGACCTTGCTACACATAACCAAAGGCATTACCCCATTGGCCTACTTTTCGACCTTCACACATCGTATCATGTAAAACCTCCAACACTTCCTTGGGATATTACTGTGCATGTTTCGGGGTTTCCAGCTGATAAAGTATTTCGGACGCTAGCTGCAAATGGGTTTGACCCGCCTCTGGATTTTTTTATGGCGCAGTTGAAGGAGGTATATGACTTTCTTTTTTTACGCTGATAAAGATGGGTGGGAACGGGAAAGATGGGGGCAGGGTAGATAGGTGTATTTTCATTTATGATAAAGTCGACTTTTCTTCGTTTTCGAATTAGCACGCCTCCCCCGCTTTTCTCTGCCCCATTCTGCACATATTTTCGTCAACAGACGTTTCTTCCGATCGTACTTTTCCTTTTCCTGGAGCCACTCTTAACTCATCCCATTTGCCATTAAAATAACACCTCCAATTTAAGACCGACTTCATCCGCAACGGCTCCACAAAACGGATGATGTCTCTCACAAAAAAAGATCAACTCTCCCTATGGAACGCCCTTTCCACAAACGACCATTCATCTTTCTGGGAGGTCAACTCAAAGTTACTGCATATTTCATCTGCTCAAGCTATGCCTGCAACATCTTTACCTGGAGGAGATGGGTCTCCTCCTGTTTTGACTCCAGCGGGTTCTAGTACGAGTTTGGTAGCGACAGGGATTAGATCGGTGGCTGTGAGAGTTTATTGGGGCGTGAGACCTATTGTACAAGATTTGGTAGCGCCTGTTGATGCAGAGAGTGGTTTGTAATTCTTTTTTCTTGACCCGAGCTGTGTTCTTTCACCTCGCTTCTCCTTTGCTAAATAATGTTTTCTATTATTTCATCCCTTTTTTTTCTTAACCCTACTATTCCCGCCTTCACTAACTCTTATTGATCGATTTGCTTTCTAACTCCCGTGTATCTGTCTCCACGCTTTCCCCCCCCTTTTTTTAAAAAAAACAAGGCCGTGACCTCCTCCTTATAGATATGCTTCGCCATCTCCTCCCAGGCGCCTTCTCCGCCCAACCCCTCTCACCTGATTCCGAATTTCCACTTGGCATGCGAGTTATCGTTCACGGAGTGTCTCTTCATGCCTCTAGTCCTGTTTTATGGATTTCTCGGAATATGTCGTATGCGGATAATTTTTTGCATATTGTTGTAGTGACGGATGTAGGGGGAGCTGGTGCGGGTGGTGTGGCGGCTGATGAGGTGTAAAAATAATACCAGGATGGGTTATTTAATATTTACGCGCGCATTATTAATTGCAATCCTTTTGTAATGATTTTTGGATGGTTTACCCACCGCAATGTTTTTTTGATTTTTCTTGCCCTTTGACCTGAATGTGCTTTTGTTCACAAGGGTAGAGGGAGGTTTGGAATTTTGGGTATGATTAGCTCATTGTGCCTTCGTCGTCTATCCTTGTCGTTTCGCTCGGAACAGGATGTATGACTTGTTCGTAGGGCTCACAATTCCACCCATTGACCAAAGCGGTATGGCGTTGTGCTGGGTATCACATCATCGGAGTGATTTTAACTGACTTCTTGAATCCCACTCAAATTTACGCACATGGTGAACCTCCAGAACGACTTGACTGTGCCCACCGACTTTTTTAGTATTTTCATACGCGCCTCCTAATAGAACCCTAAGTACGGATGATAGACATCGGCCGTCTTTCGGTGGTATGGCCCATACTCTTTCCTTTTTTTTTCTTCTTTGAATTGAGAGAAGGCACTGGAGGGGGCTCCCAAAGATGTACAACACCATCCCTATATATCGTAATTGGCATCACATCACCGCTGTATAAATCGTCATTGGCACGATCGTAATCCTTTACATCCACGTTCCTGTGACGCCTATATCGGCCTCGATTTCATCGCTCTTTTCACGGTTTAACGTTCTGCAGTGTTTTTAATGAATAGTAGAACATCAGGAGAAAGAAAAACTTTAAAATTAATTTGCATCAAACCCACAACTGCCTTGGAATGTATAAAAAATTCACTATATAAATAGCTTCGCGAAATGGTTGGATGTCAAGCACAACCCCGTCACCCGCCTGCGCTTCGAGGCAAACACACAGGCGTATGCCTACAACATGCTCGGACAGGCTCCCACAGTTGCCGATTGTCAGGTGCAAGACCTGTGGTCGCTATGCGATCAGGAAGGAACCAGTGATGATGGCACAGTTTTACAGCGTGTTTGAAACATATCCTTCTGGCAGCATCTCTTAAGTGCAATGCGCAGGTTGGTGGTCTCGTCAGAGACTGTCATGGTCAAGTGGGATGCAGGTGGCGGACTTGTCATTGATTTAGGACGGATGGCCGAGTGGTCTAAGGCGGACGTCTTAAGCACGTCTAATCTCCCGATTGCGTGGGTTCGAACCCCACTCCGTCCACATTCATAAATATTTTTGTCCGACACTCTGCTTGATCTTCGTCGTACGACAAGAGTTGCTGTTGTTGAAGTTGGTAGTGCTGCTTACCCACCACCATTTTTCACAGATTAGGAACTCCTCGCCTCTTCGCCGGCTCACGGTGTGCATTAGTCTCTCATCGTCAGATGCCCAGCAACTGCAAACGTTGGCAGCCTATGCATTTTTGTTGATGAGTTTAGCTCATAGACTGTGTGCTTTCGAATGTTCTCCCACTCAACTTGAGCATAGATCTTGTGCTCAATAACAATGTGGGCCACCAACAACACATACGAAGGGGCTTGGCATTCTGGTAGGAGAAGAAAAACTGGTATCACTGATTTCAAGGGATAAGGGCAAGAAGATGAACCTCCTTTTTTTGATTGGAGGCATCAACTCCAATCCAAATAAACGGGACTTTAAGTTCTGGAAGTGTATCGGTGGTATCGGAATATATACTGAAAAGAGATTTAGTGTTGCTATTGGTATAAAAAGAGGCGTTTGTTTCGCTTCATTTTCTCATCTTTCGCGTCCAAACATGATGATCAAATACCTTACCCTCGCAATTACTGGTGCCAGTCTCTTGTCATTGGTGACAGCCATCCCAGCTGCTGTTCAGCTTGTTGCCCGCAACACTCCCGCCATATCCATAGAGCCAAAGACCCTCACCATCGATGACATGAAGGCTGGTGCTGAGATTGGTATTCGACTCCTCTACGCTCCATCGTCTGCTGTTACGGTCTATCTTGAGGCTCCCGGCCTTCAGCTTACAGCCTGCTCGCTCAAGTTCAACCCAAGCGAGGCGAACATTCTGAAGAAGGTTCGCATTGTAGGAGGAGGATTTGACACCGTCACCTCGTACACTCTGAAAGCAGCTCTCTACGATCCGAAGCCTACGCGTCCTATGATTGGAGAGCAGACAGCCGCCATCAACCGTCTCGTCACTCTACCCGCCAACTGCTACTCAAATGGTGATCCGCATTACAAGACTTTTGATGGCAAGCTCTACAACTTTTACGGCGCGGGAGTTTACTACTTGGTTCGCACTCCCACGTTGATTGTTCAAGCTGATCAACAACATGTAAGTACCGTTATACTATGATCTTCATTCATTTTGTTTCTAAACCCTCCCAGTGTACACCAACAGTTACTTGCAACTACCAAGTCGCGATCCAGTTTGGCAGCACGGTCATCGTATTGGCGCCCGCTCCAGGAAGCAGGACCGTCATGGCACTCACCCTGCTATCGGCCAATTCTCAGGGTATCACTGCAACCGCCAACGCCGCGAAAAACTCGTATCAGATCAGTATCTCCGATGGATCTTTAATAACGGTCAGCATGTATCCTTGGGGAAGCACTTACTACATGGATATCTCAATCACCGCCGCCGGATCCCACATGAACAAGGTTAATGGACTCTGCGGCAACTTCAACAAGAACGCTGCAGACGACACGTTGACACCAGCCACGTTCGCAGTGCCAGCTTCGGAAAACATCTTCACGCGCAGAAGCGGTTTAATTCTCACAACTGCCTGCCCTCCCACCACCTTTGTCTGCAAAATACCCAATCTGACCACCCCACCCAACACCGATGGATGCGATACATTCGTTCCACCCGGCTGGAATTCCGTCCCAATGACGACAGGCCCAGCATTAAAGCCACGCTCGCCCAATGCCAAAAATCGAATCATCCCAAACAAGCCATTGAAGAAGATCATGAAACCTGCAAAGATCAAGAAGCTCTGCAATTCGATTCGACAGCTCGACGATTGGTGCTCAACAAATCTGGACGTGTCTTTTTTCATCGACTCTTGCATATCGGACGTGACTTTGACGAAAGATCGAAGTCTTGTCAAGCTGGCAAAGAAGAGTTTCTTGACGGCGTGTGGTGGGAGAGCTGCATTGTCTTCGGGATTTAAGAAGAACCGAAAAGAGGGTCGAGATATCCGTGAACATGCCGCCAAAGCTCTGAAAGAGAGTGAGACGGTTCCGGATGACAACGACGATGATTGAGCTCCGAATGTGCTTTTGAGCGCCAAAAGAAGCTAGATGAATTATGACCAAGAGATACATCAACATATGGGGCCGTCAAACAGTAGTAGGCATCCGAAATAAACAGCGTTTAAACAGTTCAAATATATATTGAATTGGTTAATAAATTTGCAGCGACAAGCACCTTAAAAAATTGTACATACAGGAAAGCAAATAACAAAAAAAAGGCAACCGAAATATCCCACATAAAAGAGCGTGGTTAAAGCTCAACAGCCAATGGCGCCTCCGCTAACACCACCTTAACCGTTCCCGCCGCACTATCCTCTGAGGCTTTCACAGAGCCCCCGGACTTTGTTTTATGCATCGGTAAAGACCCAATGAGACCGCCATTCTTCATCCGCGGCCCACCAAACTGATCACTTTGCGGTTGGGTTTGAGAATACCCTTGAAATCCATTATGATTATTACTCTGATTAGAGGTTGGCTGATGAGCATGTCTCGAATACGTAGGATACTGCTGAGGCGTAGCAGCAACGTGTGGTGAGAGCTGAGGAATTGACGGAGTTGTACCAGCCATCGAAGTCCCAGACGAACCATTTCCAGATCTATTCTGACCGTGAAAATACTGCTGCTGCTGTTGATGCTGATAATGAATGTGATGATTCGGCCCAGGGTTATTGGCAGGTGGCAAAGACTTGACCCATAGAAGAAGTGGGCCCCAATCCACAGTGACTCTCTCTCCCGTGATGGCGTTACGAACTTCATTATATCCCAGAGAACGGTAAAAGTGTTCGGCATGCCAGAGACTCCACACCTCAACGCTTTCAACACGGCGATGACGATGCAATTCCCGGAGAAGGCGGCGACCAAATCCATGATTCTCGTAATGAGACGATACTAGGAGTTTTTCGACGCGCAGGTGGCGGGGGTCACCGGCTCCATGGAAAAACTTTCAGGATAGGGATATTAAAGAAGGTTAGAATGACTTAGGTTGTCCAAATTTAAAAAACCCCACCTCTACAAAAGCGATAAGATCTTCAAGCATAGGCTCGGCAGGATCTGCGTCGCGCCTTAGAGCGACAAGCACTTGGTAGTCATAGGCATCCCCAGTTTCCCGGCCCCTTGAAACCCGTACCTTTGGAGCAGTTGGCGGCATAGGAGCGTTCTCCAAGAACCCAACACTGCCGCCAGAATCCGACGCAGGAGATGCCACCCCATCCGATCCAGGAGTCGCCTCTCGCGGTGAGATGACCGAAGCCGACAGATAAAGTGCGTTGCAAAGATCGATCAGCGTGGCGTCATGTGGCGAAAGGTATCGGAATGCCACCTTGAATGGGATACCCCGTGAGGATCGAAGCGAGGAGCTTCGGGAGATAACGGAGTCGGTATCGGCAACTACACTGCCAGAGGATCCAATGTGAAGATCACTGTCGTAGGCAGAGTCGGAGCGGTCGATCCCTTCGAATATTGACCCACGGATAGATTCAGTATCTATAGACACGATTGACTCAAGGTCCGAGGGGTATGATGGGTCGTACGGATTATGATGAGATAGGGAATAGCGGTGGCTATTGTGAGCCACTTGGTTAGGAAAGTACTGCTGGTTGTGGGGATGATCGCTGTGGTCTGCAGAATGCATCACGAATAAGATTATCAGTTGAAATATGAGAATGAATCCAGCCTTACCATTCATAACGTCCCCCTTTTCCGACATAGAATACGAAATGCGCCTCTCCATATGAGAGGTAGGAAAAGTTGGATTAGACCAGCGGTTATTCTGCAAATAACCAGACGAGCCTCGAGAAAACTGTATTCCTGAACCTCCCGTCCGACCAGCACTCCCCATCAATGACCCGCCTGATCCTTCTGGACGACCTTCCGGACGAATGGCTCCATGACTACCATCTACCTCCAGTATGAAATCCTCCCGTCCTGTGTGCTGGCTAAGCGACGAACGGCGGCGCATATCATTCACCATAAACGGCGGAGTTGCAACGGAGGCTGCAGACGTCGTCCCGTCCGTTGTAGCAGTCACGGAGGTGCCAGCTGCATACTCCTCATCCCCATGAAAATACCCGGTTCGAGAAACTCCCAAGTTTCTCCTTGCAATAGAGGTATCCAATCTCCCAAATCCTTCAGCATCTTTTGGTGCGCGCCGCTTCATCCATCTCGGCGTCCAGTTGTCAATTGTGGATGAGACCGCTGAAACTCCAGACGAAATGGTCCTAGCCCAACCAAGCACATGCTTTCCAGTAGCGTAGGCGATCCTAGCGGCGACCGTCATATGGGGTCCAAGCCCCCATGTTGTGTAGAGAGCATGAACGATGTAGGCTGTTGCGGAAATAACAATAATGAGAGGAGATGCCACCAGAAGAGTGACTGGCATAAGCAAGATGGAGAGAGGAAGAAGAACGGTGGAGATGGCCGTTGCCGCAATGAGTAGATATAGATGGGTGAGGCGATTGGCGATTGATAGGAAGAAGGTAGTAGCGGTCGGAGACGAGGAAATGTAGGGCTTGGTAAAATAGGCTGGCTGTCCAGCTCCACCACCACTCATATAAGTAGGATTCACATGCTCCGTATGCCCACCATTCGGAGGCATAAAGGATGAGGATGAGGATGACGTTGGAAGCCCAAAGTTCGGCTGCTGTGGCTGGCGCCTTGTACAATTGTTGGATGGCATCTGCTTGGGCTGATGTCAACCAGAAGCTCATAAACCCAGCTGTCCCTCACAAATATGACTTTCCGGAGATCCCTCCAGGATATCCCAGTCGATAATGCCTGACGGCCAGATTATCAAGATGCGGTGATGTTGAGGCAGGCGAGCGATGGTGAGGACGCTGTGGAGGCGGGTTGCTGCTGAAGTCAGCTGCTTTGTTGATTTGTGTGAAAACCAGAATCACGCGAATGGGAATTGACGATGCAGCTGCCATACCAGCCCTGCGGAGGTTGAAAAGACGAACGCGAAGCCATCGTCTGATGCGTGCGCTCAG